AGAGAGAGAGAGAGCAGCCACTGGAGCCATTTGTTACTTGATTTCTCTTTCTTTAAGTACCCGAAGCTCTGGAATTTTTTTGCTCTTCCTCCTCAAGCGCAGCCCCAAATTTTGCRGATGTTGATACCTGCTTATGCTAAAACCACGAGTAACCTTGTAAACCCAGTCCCACGTGTGACCCGGGGGAGGGGAGCTTTTCCTAAATTCGATGTTTTAAGTGTTGAATGCCAAGCAYTTTTTATTTTTTGGTCAGGCCAGCTTGCAAATGTCCCCAACATCTCCCCGTCGTGTTGGTAGGAACAACCAAGCCCGCGACAAACCCAACCAAAATTGGAGCAGGGGAAGTTGTGCCAGACGTAGACCACCGGCATCTGTTTATCATTGTTGGATCTGCAAGGAGAAAAAAAAATAAATAAAAAATAAAAAAAAAACATCCTCTGAGCTGCCTGAGCGAAGGAAATGGGTGGTGAGGTGAAACTGGGGAGGGGGGGATTAGGAAAATATTAATGAGCGGCTGGAACAAATTAGCGAGGGAGTAGCGGAGACAACAGGAAGGAGAGAGAGAGAGGGGATGGGGAATCCGAGATCCGGAATGAGGCAACAAAAGTTGGTTGTATTGGGCTTTCACCCCATTTTATAAATATATATATATATATATATGTATAATGAAATGTGCGAGAGTGAGGTCGGAATGGATCTGGGGGAAAAAAAAGTAAATTAGGCTGACATCATTCACCCTGAAAGGGGCTCCTGCTCCCAAGTTACACCCAGGAAASCAGAGGAAATGGGTTATGATGTGAGGAGAAAAGTGGGAAAGGAGAAAAAAAAAAGGAGGAAGGAGCGAATGGAAGGGAAGGAGGAGCTGGCAGAGGAAATGAAGGATGGGGAAATGCAGGATGTGAAAAAAAAAAAAAGCGCAGTGCAGAGTGAATTTTGGGTGATAAAAGGGAGGAAAGATTAGGGGAGTTTTGGGAAAAGTGAACCGAAGGGAGGTGTTGTGCCCTCGTTGGAGTGGAATAATCCTTACAGGTGCTGGGCTGGTGGCCGGATTTGGCCACGGAGTGACCACTGGACAGCCGGACATGGCACAGAGGGATGGGCAGAGAGTCAGGACAGACAAAGGGGTTGGAC